GCATCAAGCTCCTTCCCTTTTTACTTTCCCTCCACCTTGTTTTCACTAAGCTGCTCCTTTTGAATCTGCTTTGCCTCCTCACTTGATTGCTATCTTGAAAGAGTGCCAAGAACCTCTTTGCCGGTGACATTGGTAATAACTCAAGGCGTGGCCATGCCAGGCAATGCCACTGGGTTTTACTCTTTGCCTTTTGACCCGAGCCCTCTGCAGTGTTCTAGGGCACCTGCAGCCCCAAAGGAACCTCCGCACACCTCCCAGTTGGGAGATGGGAGGAGAATCTGAGAAAGGCACAAATGAACAAGCTTGAGACCCTTCTTTCAACTAAGACATCGGCCAATGAAAGCACTTCTTATATGCATCTGCACTCTTTCTTCCTGGGGAAGAGAATCCACAGCTTTCATCATATTTTTAAGGCATTATTGATCCAAAAAAAGTTGCCCAAATCTAGGAACATTTGAAATGTAAATTCTCCATTTTTAGAAGTATTGCCTCCTTTTACATTAATAAAAATTTACACTGGGGATTTTTACTATATCATTTAAATTATATTAATTTATATGAGTGGTTTGTAAATTATAATATCCATAAGAACAGGAATACAAACTATTCAAAATACTTATCATATTACTTTCTCAACTAGTTATTTCATAATTATTTGTTAAGTTAATGCAGGTAATAGAAAAGGAAAGCATATATGAGCCTCTGTACCACATAGACAAATTTTTACATAATTTATTTTCCCTAGGGGAAAAAAAGATTTATACCAACTTTGATAGGATTCAAATAGTAGTATGTTTGGTTTAAAATAGAAAATGATCAAAGTATTTCATTTGCATTCCTCCTCCTCCCAACAGCCTCCCCCCACTTTACTCCCTCCCCCCAGCACCAACCATTCTTTGTTCTTTTCTGCCTGTGCAATAGCAAACTACTCACCAAAGACTTCCTCTCCTGGGCTACCTTGGCCAAGTTGGCTGCTGTTTGGGTTTGGCTGATGGGAGGCCCTGGCAGAAGAAATAGGCCAGAATTTCTTCCCGATCCCCTCTGGTTTGACAAAGCATCTCTGTCAGCAGCTTCCTCCCTCTTAGACTACAGTGCCTACCTATTGTAGTTCTAGCTGTCAGCAGGCTCTCCTCCCCGTGGCCCTTTAGCCGGAGGGTATTGCTAGTCTCTGGATGGCCACCATCCCTTGTTTATTCCCTTAAACCTACACACATCACTGTAAGTAGTACTTTCACTAACATTTTTTCCTTTGTCATGTAGAGGTAATTCTATTTCCTGGAGGGGCCAGACTAATACACATTCTAGGTGCCAGTCACTGATCTAAATACTTCATGTACATTATTTCGTTTAATCCTCATATGCAGCCTAAGAGTAAGTACTGTTAGTATCTCCCTTTTACAGGTTTGTTAACCAATTATAGTGAGCGTACATGGTGCTTGCATGGGATTGTTGCAGGGAGTCTATAAACATCTACATGTTAGGAAGTTTGCAAACAACTAAAGATGCATTAACAATCTCTGAAATAAAATATGTAGACAACAGCTAATAAGCTATTAGGTTGAGATATAATAGTTGATTGAGTATCATGACTGGATATCTCTATTGTTGCCATAAAATTACTTCTTTGATCCAATGTCACTATTAGCTTTTCTATGACATTTCAGCATCCCAGAAAAGTATTTTTATAATTGACTATCTACATAGTACTTACAATTAATCTCAACTTTAAGAGATGATGAAGTTAATTCTTATTGAAAATAAATCTTAGTGGTCAGTGGCGGGGATGAGGAAAGGGGGATATCTGTAATACTTTCAACAATAAAGATTTTAAAACTATTTAAAAAATAAATCTTTTACATTGCTATCATTAGGCAAAGCTGTTGAGATAAATGTTATGCCATAGCCTTCCATGAGTTAGGGGGAAATATATAAAACTTAAAACATATTTTCAGTGTTCTCCCACATGTTTTTCACATCTCTATTCATCCTCTGGTTACCTCCTATATGCTGCCATATAGTTAATGCAATTTATGTTTTCCAGAATGGCTATTGGACTTGGCTAAAGTATGCATAGCTTCACTGACCCAAACCCACACTGAGAACAAACTGAGTATCCTTTATGCTTTGTCTTAAAAAAAAGAAAGAAGAAGAAGAAGAAGAAGAAGAAGAAGAAGAAGAAGAAGGAGAAGAAGAAGAAGAAGAAGAAGAAGAGGACTTTGATTTGGCCGTTGTGACACATGAAGGAAGCCGCCCCCTGCTGTGACATCCACTTTCCTGTTACTCTGATTCTAGGGCAGAATACGCTTATGTTTCAAGCATGTTTAACATAGGGCTGGAAACAGCAACAGTGATTGTGCTAATAAAAATTTTACCTCTGCTATTCTGGACCCCTGCAAGGCTCCTGTTCAGGAGGAGATATTGAAAGAATAAGCTTTTATATCAGGGCTTCATTAGGACAATATGGATGTATGGAATCGTTGTAGGCCTAGACGGTGACCAGGTCACTTCCACAATGTGGTTACTCTTCCCCAAGCTCCTGGCCCATCATTGGAAGGATACAACCTGATTAGTTTATGTCCCAGACCTCTTCTCACACTGGCTTGTTTACATCTGAGAATCAAACAGATTTGGAAATGTAACTGTAGGTAGTTATTTCAACTGCTTCATCTATTTAGGAAATAGTTTAGTAAATAAAAACATTGTTCTATTTTGATTTTTCAGGCTAGTCAGACCACCTGAGTTTGAATCCCAGTCTCATCATCTTACTTCTGTGACTTGAGGAATGTTACATATGCTCTCTGGCTGTAGCATGCTTGCACGGTTACTCTGCCATTTCTCTTCCTCTTGCTCAGGCTTGGGTAGCTCTGACAGATATTCTATTTGTTGCGATACAGTATGGGTGACTTACTTTCTTTCCTCCATACCTGAGTCCTGATTGGTTTCCACTTTTCATTTTTATTTGAGGACAGAGTACTTTATCTTCTGTTTACTTCTCTATACCTCAAAGAAATGGTGAAAGATAGATAAGCTCTGTTGAGGCAAGATACAGGCTGCATTAGAAAATGTGAGTCAGGCTCTCCTTGTTTAGTGTTTGTTCTGGATGAGAATTATGTGTCATTTTATAGGGAAATATCCCCAAACACCAGGCAGTCTCCCCATCTTAGTGAGTAGTCCTGGAACTTTTACTTTCATTAGAATCAGCCCCATAGTTTACTTCCCCCATATCACCAGCCTTTCTTGTAGCTATTTCTAGTAATAGCTAGAAATAAAAAATGTAAGGAGATCCATTACATTTGTCTCCCTACAAATTTGGGAACACTAGTATGACTCAGAATTTGCTATATTTGTCAGTATAGCTTGAGATGGGCAAATGGGTGAAAGGGCAAAGTTAAGAAATAAGCCAAACCATACTCTGCTCCATTTCAGAATGTTACGTTTCTTTGTGTGATTGCCAGTTCTTTTCTTTTTCTTTTTAACTTTAGACTATGCCTCTTTCATATTTTTGTTGCTGAATTGGTAAATTTTCTAGAGTTTTTTTTTTAAAAAACAAGTATTAAAGGATAGAAAAATCTGTGGTGCAGTTTTAGTTGGCCACCTGGACATTTCAAAATTCTCCCAACACATGGGAGTTTTCTTCCCCTCCCACTCAGCTTTTGATATGCTGATATAATCAGATGCATGAGAAAACATTCCCATGCATGAGATTCCTCTTAACTCCACCACCCCTTTTTGCTAAGGTTGGGTTCTTTCTGTTTATTATTATTATTACTAGAGGCTCAGTGCACAGATTCATACACCAGTGGGTTCCCTCAGAGTAGGCTGTGCCCTCTCGCAATCCAGGACTTCTCAGGGAATGTCGGAGGCCCGGTACATGAATTCAGCCCGATTCCTGAAGGCCAGCCCTAGGGACTCCACCGGTGCACAAATCAGTGCACCAGGCCTCTATTGTGCATATAAGACCTTTTATTAATCTCTTCCTGCCCACCCGCCCTTCCTCCTTTCCTCTTAGATTCATCAGTCTATTCTATGTTTCCATGCCTGTTCATTGAGTGTCTGCCACCCGGTGGTCAGTGTGCATCATAGCTACTGGTCAAACAGTTGCTTAGGCTTCTATAATAATCTATAATAATTATAAGCGTAATATGCTAATTAGATCAGACAGTTGAACAACCTTCTGGGGGAAGTCCCAGTGGCAGGGACTGAGGCAGAGGCAGTTAGGGCTGATCAGGCAGGCGAACAGTTAGAGGTGATCAGATAGGCAGGCAGGTGGTTAGGGGTGATCAGGCAGGCAGGGCCTAAACTGGCAGTTAGACATCCCCCAAGGTGTCCCAGATTGTGAGAGGGTGCAGGCTGGGCTGAGGGACCCCCACCCCATGCATAAATTTTGTGCACTGGGCCTCTAGTTTTATATATATATATCACATTTTTATAATTTAATTCTTTGAGATGAATCTCAAATTCAGCTTTTGAGATACATGCTGTTAGATTAGTATATCATGAGAAGGTGCTGGAACTACAGATTTCCAAACATACATACACAACTTTGCATATCTGGACTCCCTTAGCATGGTCCATAAGTCCCATAGGAGAAAAGATTCCTGATCATGTTAAGTCTTGACTAATGTCTATCGCCTATAAGGGACTTTGGGAAGTCTCTAGTTTATCTTAGTGCCTCCAGACAAAAAAATTCTCATAAATGTAGTATAGAAGAAAGACTATTACAAGAAAGTTAACACTGGTTCTGGCTTTACATCTAATTAACTATATGATCTTTTTCACTTTAATTTCTCGGTGTCAGTTTTATCATCTATAAAACTAAGGGGCGTAGAATAAGTCTCTTTAAAGTTTATTTTATCTTTATGATTCTAATTATAATAATACCTTCCTAAAGAGATAATGATTTCCTTTTAAATTGCCATAATGAAAAGTCTACACTGTCTGCAATTAGCCTCTGTTCTGTCTGTGGTAGGTTTTTTTGTTTTGTTTTGTTTTGTTTTTATCATGTTCCTTTTTATATGTATCAAAGTATGAAAAATGAGTTCTGGGTTGCAAAAGAGGCTTTATTTTTAGCACCTGTATGTAGTTTTTGTCTACAGTTACAAAAACAAACACAAATGCTATCCTGTGGTAGTTTTTAACCATCAGAAACTTCTTCGGATCTCTATTCTAAACCTCTCAAGCTGTAGGTCTTCTTTATTTTATTTTCTTCTCAATCTTCTTAATATTCTCTCTTATCTTCCTTATCTAAATCATCCCCAGACAGGTAAAGTCTTACTATTGAAACGTAAGGCAGACTTCATCACTAAGCACCCCTTTTCCCACTTTTAAATTATTAATGAGTGTGGTAAATGAGATGAGACACAGTCCTAACACCCAAAGGCAGCCCATTCTGTCTCTCAGATAAGAAAAGCTAAACTGTTGTAGCTGTGGTATTTGGTAGTCCCAGCTCTTCTCTCCTAGATTATACCCTTCTAAGCTCCACTCAGAAGATGGTATAGCTCAGTGGTCAGCAAACTCACTAGTCAACAGAGCCAAATATCAACAGTACAGCAACTGAAATTTCTTTTGAGAGCTGAAAACCGACTTCTGCTCATGGGTCACGAAGTTTCAATCGCACTGTACTGCGTGCCCGCACATGGTGTTTTGTGAAAGAGCCACACTCAAGGGGCCAAAGAGCCACATGTGGCTCTAGAGCCGCAGTTTGCTGACCACTGGTATAGCTAAAGATACCACATTAAGAGAACAAGATTGAAGTGAAATCATTTACCTGAATCTAGAGCCTTACTTTATTTTAGGCATCAGCATTGAGTTGCTACAATTAAAATTAACCATCTTTTTCCTCCCCTTGCATCCCAATAACACTTCCCAGAGTTGATCATGGTTAATCATGCTGTAACCTCTATCTGGTTTACCCCTTTGTCCACAGGGAAAATTTCTGAGGTGAGACTTTAAGATTTGACTCAATTATTTCCTCTGAAAAACCTTATAGCACCATGCTTAGGACTATATCTTACCTTTTTGTCTTTGCTTGTGTTCCCAGAAAGGAAGAAACGAGGGCTCACTCACATTCATTTATTTGGGGACATAATCCCAAGGAACAAGAGTTGGGGTAGAGGACTAGAAGTAAAACAGGACAAGAAGAAAATCAGGGCAGAGGTACACTACTGATCTGGTTACCTTTGTAGGCAGTGGGGGCTCTTCCCTGCTAGAGAGCTTCTGAGGGGCCAGAATTCAGAATTGTCATATTAATTCTTTTTAAAATGTATTTTTTTTATTGATTTCAGAGAAGAAGGGAGAGGGGAGAGAGAGATAGAAACATCAATAGTGGGAGAAAATCATGGATCAGTTGCTTTCTGCTTGCCCCCCACTGGGGATTGAGCCCACAACCTAGGCATGTGCCTCTGACCGGAATCAAACCTGGGACCCTTCAGTCCATAGTCAGATGCTCTATTCACTGAGCCAACCAAACTAGGACCATACTAATTCTTAGAAACCAGAGTGAGGGCTCTGCCAGTTGCTAAGTATACTCCACTTCAATTGTTCAATTGAAAACCAGGGATATAAACAAAGGTGTGTCTGTAGCTCCATTGAACCACTGTGAGAGGAACTTGAACCCTGGTTTCCCACTCTCCCTGGAGGCTATGATAGTGCTTCTTGGTATTAGTGTCAGATCAGATCCTGTATCCATCAGGTCTTGATGTTTTCCCTTTGTTAACATATAGTATCTCCATAAGCAAATATATGTTTTCCCTTTGTTAACATATAGTATCTCCATAAGCAAATATATATCCTTCTGGTGACCAATTGGGGGAATCTGAAGCATATATACTTGTGCTGGTATTGCTGGGTCTTTACACAGCCTCCTCTTCAATTGCCGGAGTTTGGGTCTGAGAACTCACTTACATCTGTAAACTGGGTGAGAGGTTGTAATTTCCCATTGAGACAGCTATCATCATCCTTCTGTTCCCCAGCTGTTGATTTTTTTTTCTGGTTATACATATAGGTCAAGTAATACTCTAGTGGATGCTCATTTAACTTATCCTGAGGAACACCATGGTTTATTCATCATTATCTCAAAATCCTGTAGGTGAAGACATTCTGGCTGCCCCTCTGGTCTTGTCACCATTAACATAATTACCATCTGACTTCTGATAATTTGGACTCAATCAAATTGGCATTAGGAAGCCCCGTTCCACAGCAGCATCTCTTACTGTCAACAACAGTGAAGAGCTACCACTGAGCTTCTCCAAGATGCGAGAGGCACCCTCATCACTTTATTTCTTTCTGCCTTGGAGATGGATGCGTCTTCTGAAAATCATGGTCAGAGGCTGGGTCCTCAGGGCTCATCCACCAGTGAACGTCTCAGTAAGGCTGATTCAGGCCAGGAGTTATCACTTCCCAACAGCAGTGGGAGTGTCTGACAGGCAAGGCCTTCCATTCCAGAATCCTTTCCTGGGTGTTTCCTGATATCAAAAATCTTATCTTGAGTTTCCCTTGAAAGGCAGTTTGAGACAAGGAGTTGGATGCAGTTGGTTTACTTTGGGAAAATATTCTAGGGGGCAGGAGTAGGAATGGTGAGTGGAAGGAAAGAAAGCCGATCCAAAGGCACATTATCAAGCTGGTCATCACTGTGGGTACCGGGAGCTTGATCCTGCTGACAGTCCTTTGAGAGTTGTGCGAATTGTGCCTCGAAATTGTCAGAATTATCTGACACAAAAGAGGAGACAGTTGATTCTTTGTCTCTTCTCTTCACTGGTAAAAGGTTGCTCCAGTAAGTGTCAACTCCCACACAGTCCCCAGCTTGTGCCTGTGCCAGAACAGCTGGATGGGCTTCGGCAGGCATCCCAGGTGCTGGTGGCAAAGAATCCCTATGCAAAAAGCAAGAGATGCTCTATGCACTTGAGGCAAGGCCATGACAGAGCATGGCTGGCTGTGGCAGCAAAGGCTGGAGCATAAAGAAGTGTGCTATGAGATATGAAGGAGTAAAAGATGTCATACACACATGCCTCTCTTATTGTGCTTATCAGACTATATCACAATATTGTGTGCCTCTCACTAATCCTAGATGCTAAGTACTTTAAAAATAGAGACATGGGACAAGCAGGGAGGCGGAGCTTGAAGATGGCGACCGAACAGTCGGACTTGTTCTGACTCTGGTCCCAGAACAGATAGAAACAGCGTCTGAGTCGCTCAGGGAATGTTGATTGGCAGCTAAGGGGCTTCGGAATTCTCTAGGAAGGTAAGGAAAGGTCCGCTGGACAGGATTTCCGACCAAGAGGCCAGCACTGCCGCGGCTGCGGCGGCTCTCCCAGCGAGCTCTCGCGGAGAGAAGGCAGCGCCATCTTACCAGGAAAGGAGGAGCATCCCTGAGGCCTGGAAAAACACGCAGCGGGGAGGTCCATCGAGCAGCTGAGAAGCCCGAATCGGCACGGGCGCGTGGAATCCGGGGAGTTCTTCGGTCACCCACGGAAAGGTCAGAGTTTGCGGGGACAGCCTAGGGGACCGGGGTCCCGCGGCCCAGGCAGCTACGGTAGCCGGGGAGCTCCAACCCCTCCCTCAGGGTAGCCGGGAGCGCGCACTACCGGCCACCGAGCGGCACCCAAAGAAGGCTGCAGCGACACCTAGTGCTGGGTTTGACGTAATCCTCCCCAGAAGCGGGACTTGTTTAAAACGCCACAGGTCACTGGACAGAGCGTTAAGAATCTCGGCTGTTTCGCCAAGGGCGGAACATCTGGACACCTTGGTGCCTGATCCCCTTCACCCCCTTGCTTCTGAATACTAGGGAAGAACTGCCCAGTTGGACATATCCGGGGAAATTGCAGGGGGAAATTGCCTTCCTGGAAACAAGGGATCTGTACCAGAAGAGATAGTCTGGGAGCCAGCTGGCACCCTGCCAGCTAGAGCCATCGAGAAAGAAGGCCAGAGCAACCAAAAAGACTGGGAGGTCAAACCAGTAACACTGACACCTAAGAGCTGAATTACAAACTGCCCCCCCCCTTTTTTTTTTTCCTTCTCTTTTCTTTTCTTTTATCTTTTAATTAATCAAAAATAAATGGACACAAATAACTAAGATATAGTCTACTTAAAATTAAGGATTACCTTACAAATCTGAGGTGCAGTGGAATGCTGGGAACTGCAAGACTTTTTGGGCCGAGATCAGGAGTGCCAAATACATTAACAGAGGAAGTGAATGACCACTACTGGACATTTTTATGCTAATTTTACTATTATTTTATTTTCATTTTTTACCTCTTTTATTTAATCTTCATTTTTTTATATCTTTTACTTAAGAAACGATTTTTTTTCCTTACTTGATTTTACCTTTTTAATTATTACATTTTTCAATCTCTATCATCACTATTACTACTGCTATTTTGCAATTTTTTTTTTTTTTCCCTCTTCAGTACCATTTTATTTTTTTTCTTTATTTTACCTTGGGAGTAACCTTCATTCTATTTTAATCTCTACTATAGCATCATTCAACCCTATCTCAACTCGACCTTTACACCATCGCTCTCTTGCTAAACTTTACCCTCTTAGTCTACGGTTTATCCTATCCCTTTCCGGCTTTAGTTTTTCCTCTATTCTTTCTGTATACCCCCTGCTAAAACTCTCACTATACTTATAGACCTATGTTCCAACCCCTGATCCAAGTGTATAAATACCAATCTCTGCACTATATTAACTAGTTAAAAAAAAAAAAAAAAGAAAGAAAGAAAAACTGTTCTCCCCTCTATCCTTTTCGCATTGTTTGTGTGAAGGTTGATTATTGTGAATTTTTAGGCTTGTTAGTGAAATTGTTATGCTTATTACTGTGTTGTTATTGTTGCTTTGTATTTTTTTTTAAAAAAATACTCTGTTTTTGTTTGTATCTTTTACTTCTGTATATCATAGCCTTACTTAATAATAGGGGATATTGTAGTTTGTATTAATCTCCAAGTATTGTTACTGGCATTAGCTGGGTTCAGTGGTTGTTCTATGGCAGTTTTCTCCACATATATATAGTTTGTTTCCCATTTCTCTTTTAGTTTGCTTCTTCTCTCTCTTTCTCTCTCTCTCTCCTTTCTTTTTTTCCCTGTTTTCCAACTTTATTTTGTCATTACTTTTTTTCCTCTTTTT